ATCCTGTTTTTTGCCTTTCCTTAATAAATAAAAAAAACAATCAAGCAACACTAGGCTATGTGATAGCAAACTTCTGTTGACCCGTTTAGCTCCTCGCTGCCAAGGAGACCTTTGCTCAGGACTAGTATCTCATTTGAGCTGAGCCTGTTTAGTCTGGAGAAAAGAAGGCTGAGAGGAGATTTGATTGACATGTTCAAATATAGGAGGGATGATTGTAGGGAGGATGGGGCCAGGCTCTTCTCTGTGGTGGCCGGTGGCAGGACGAGGGGTCACAAGTGTAAGTTGAAATACAGGATGTTTAATCTCCATGTGAGGAAGAACTTCTTTCCTGTGAGGGTGACAGAGCCCTGGCACAGGCTGCCCAGAGAGGCTGTGGAGTCTCCTTCTCTGGAGATCTTCAAAACTCACCTGGATGCCACCCTGTGCCACGTGCTCTGGGTGTCCCTGCTGGAGCAGGGGGTTGGACTAGATGATTTCCAGAGGTCCTTTCCAACCTTAAGCATTCTATGTGGATAAATAAAGGCTTCTTCAGTAGCCACTTTTTCTCTTGGCAGGTAACTCCTGGCCCAGGTGCAATTCTGGCCCAGGTTTGAACCGTGACTGCAGAGCCCTGCACCTAGAAGGGGGCACACACGTACGAAGCAGATGAAGGAGTCGAGAGAGCTATCACCAAGGCCAAAGCAGAGGGCTACCGTATGACAGCTGTGTGTTACCAGAAACAATTTACTCTTGACATTTGTAAACTACATGCTTGTTTGAACAAATAAATATGCATTTTGTGCCAGTTCCTATCACACGTGGTGCGGGCCCTCTCCAATACCCTGGCACTGTAATGTAAATGGGGCTCCTGGCAAGGGCAGGGATGAACTTGTGAAGCCTTTGGATCCGTACAGAAAGAGGAAGGAATTGCAGCTATGCTGCATCACACTCTGCCCATGCTGCAGCAGCCCGAGCACCACCCGGGCATTCCCGCTGCTCTGCTGCTCCACACAGATAAGGGCATTCACAAGACTTGCTTGCCATTTTCAGCAAATGCCCTTTGGGATTGATGAAAGAATAGTCCTGGTTAAGGGTGCTTTTATGCTGCATATCAAGCAGGAAGGGTGAGGAATTAGGTTGCTTCTCTGAACAAATTAACAACTACTAGGAGATAGAAGATCTTAGTGGCTGCAGTGGGAGAAGGAGGAAGGAGGCTTGGAAGACTTCCCTGAAATCAGTTTTATAAATTTTGGGTGTTTGCTAAAGAGTACAAGTGAGGAAGAGCTCGGGGAG